GGGGCTCAGCGGGAGCTGCGGTCGCTATCGAGCCTCCTCCTTGGGGGGCTTTCCAAAAAGAGGGACAAAAGTGTTTTGTTTTGGTTTTCATGCTATGGCAGGGCCTGCAAAAAAAACAGGTCTTGCAGGTTTGGGGGAAGCTTTGCTGGGAGTTCTTGGATAATTCATTAATTTTGTCAAAAGAACATGTTCCCCGCAGGTTAGAAGCACACGGTGAGGACCACGCTTGCCCCACTGTCTCTGCGCCAGCAGGAACGTCCCGGCAGGGCTGCCCGTGCTGAGGGTGGGCAGGTAGATCGACCCGAGCACCATGGGGTAACTCTCTCCTTGTCACTAGCAGCAGCTTCAGCTTCCTGTGGACCAGAGCTTGGCCACTGAATAAATCAGATGAATACCCAGCAAATCTCATTTCCAGATCAGGAACAGCAAAAGTATTACTAGATAATCAAATTCTTAAGGAGATGATGAAGCCCCATGAAAAAGCATTTTGGCATCATATTGAACATTTGTTTTTCTTATTACAACTTCTCTTTAGCAGCATTTGCCCTTGGGCCACCTACTAGAAACTTTGCAGTTCTACAGATTCGGGTGTATCACAAAAAGGAAAGTAGTAACTCCTGGATAAGGCAGAATATTGAAGTTATACGCTCACATTCTTTAGTTAGAGTACTAAGTGTTTTTTTTTTAATCTTTATGTATCTAAATATAAACAGTAGTTTGGCCATAATAATAATAAACTTCTGCCATATGAGATGTTTTACTCACAATATACATTGAAAGCAACCTGCAATAGGTTTGGAAAAAGACATCTGTTTACTTCTGGAAAAAGAGAGTGCATGGCACAGATTGATTTGCAAAAACTGTTTCCAAAGTTGCTTTCAAGTTTCCTCCCCTACATCAGGCAAAATACTGATCCTAAAAATCAAAAATGGCTTAGAAAGTTCACCTCAGAGAAATGCACTTCCATATTTCCATTCTTAACTCACAGAAAGGATGGTACATGTTGACCTAGGAAAACCATATCTCAGATCACAGTTTTCTAAACAGTCCCAAATGTCCCAGTTCCTTTCTTACTGTGGGAGTAGAGTCAAAAAGAATCATTTGGGCCAATTCCCACATTAATGGCAGGTTTCTTGAGTGAAATTGTGTTTCAGGAAGCATTTTCTTGCACATTTGTAAATGCATGGAGAGGTAATTCTGAAACAAGCACTGCTAAGCAAAACTTCTGCTTTTCTTTCACCCATCCTACTTTCTCATTTTCTTCAAAAGGAACAGAACTGACTTAAGCCTTGTCTACATAAATGGGTTTTTTACTCAGTTGTGTTCTGCTGTAACCAAAGTTACAAGTGCCTTATTACAAATTATTATATGGTTGGTTAATTATTCTGGTACTTGCATACCAGTTAAAGTGAAGTTTCACTTTCCAGTTCACATTTTTTGGGGCCTCACATCTGTTTTTAAACTGTTCTGGCAGCCATCCAGCTGCCTTCGTACTCCGCGCAATCCCAGACTAGCAGATCTGTTTGTTTGTGTGCCCTTTACCCTGCTGAAGTTCTGGTGCTTGGCCAGGTCCTGCCTGTTTGTGTTTGCAGGCCCCGCGAGTCAGCACGAGCCGTGTTCTGCGCCCGTCTTGTGTCTCGCTGTCTGTCAGGCTCTCAGCTGAGGCCTGACTTTGGTCTGAATTCTCTTTACAGACTGTGGCGAGGTGAATATCCTTCATTTCCTTCAAAACACTCATGCTTCTAAGGATCTGATCTATTAGGATCACACTCAGCATGCAAGTCTGGTTGGTCTGTAGTAGAAACAGAACTAGAAAGATGACTTACAAGAAAAAGGAAAGAGCTGTCGAGGGGCCTCAGCAAGCTTGAAGAATGCATCAACAGGAACCACATAAATTTCAACAGCAGCAAAAACAAACTGATGGTGTATACAGACTGTGGACAAGTCTAGCTAGAAATAAGCTTTACATTAGAAAAGCCTAGGCAGTCTTAGTGGACCAGATGATTGGGACTCAGCAGTGCGAATTCCCTGCAGTGGGGACTAGCTTCCCTATTCAGATATGTTATGAAGATCACAGCCAGTAGGTCGAGGGAAGTGATTATATCCCCTCCATTTAGTACTACTGAGTCCATATCTAGAGTACTCTGCCCAGGTTTGATATCCATAGTAAGAGAAAAAACTTTTGCAAGTTCAGTGGAGTTTCACCATATGGGGCAGGATCACATCCAGATATGTGCAAGGTGAGGGAGCTGGGTTTGCTCCACCGAGAATGGAGAGGACTGAGCAGGGAGCAAGTAGCTGTTCTTAAATCTAAGGGGTTGTTGTAGGAAAGAGACACTTCCTGGAGGTGCACAGCATAAGTTCAAGAGATAATAGCTATAAATTGTAGCAAAGGAAATACAGACAGGATGAAGAAGAATTCACACAGTACTGAGTTTTCTGAGTGTCTCCAAGGATGAGGATTCCATTCTTGACTATGTAATTCTGACGTAATTTTGAAGTTTGCCCTACTTTTGAGCAGGAGATTGGACTAGAGGCTTCCAAAGGTTCCTTTCAGCCAAAAATATTCCATTATTATCAGAAAGCGGGGGACCGCCACCAAGCTCCAACCAGCTGTCCATTTGGCAAGGAGCTAAGCAGGATATGGATACTAGACACCAGCAAGTTCAAGGCTGCATCCTGGCCATAGCTGAGACAACGTCACAGTGTTCACACCTCTTCATACAATGACACAACTGACAGCCAGGAGCTCTTCGTTAGAAAAATGGCTGAGTTTCCATAGAAACTAACTTGATTTTTTCCCACTGCTCCCAACAAGGCTGCACAACCTTAGACAAAGACTAAAGCATCACTGTTTGACGTGGGTGCTAGTGGGAGAGCGAGCAGGTGCTTGGTTAGGTGTGTATCGCACACTATAGATCATGCAATACCAGTCAGTGCTCCAGGTTGTCTAGAGTACATTTAAAGCACAGGATCAGAGCACATCACAGCTCACAGGGTGTGAAGAACTAAGGCTGAATATACTCCCACAGCAGCAGCTTCAGGATCCAGAACACACGCTCAGCCCCGGCTGTTGGAAGGTGTTCCCAGACACAAGAGCTTCTTTGGGGAAGCAGGCATGCAGTAAGGACGTGCTGTAGATTATCTGAACTCCCATTCCCCAGAATATTTTTTTACTAGAGCAGCACACAAACCTCTTGGTGTTACAATTACTCTGCGCTCAGAAAGTCACATAGGGCAGATACGACATTCTCCACCTTTTACTAGATCTTCAACCTTTCTCCATTAAAGCTGAGGTGTGTTTAAGGACTCACCATTTTGCACCAATGCAGGATGAGCATTTTCAGCAAGCCAAGAGCAAGGGAGCCTACCAACCTCTCATCTTTTTGTTTTTGTACAATTAAGGCACAATCATCTCCCCTCAGCTCATCCTACCCCAGTATCACTCTCAACAACCCATGCATCTTCACCAACCATGTCAGAATGCTCCAAAGTGCCCTGTCATGGAGCAGAAAGGAGGTTTTAGTTAAAGCAAGCAGGCAAGCAAAT